GCGACGGTGCAGCTGATTGGAGAGACCTCGGATGACTCTGCAGTTGTCTCTGGTGTGAAGCAAGACTGTGTCTTAGCTCCTGCCCTATTTACAATATATCTTCATGCAATGTTGTCTTGTGCTTTAGATGCGGCTTGTGCTTACGGTGTTCGTGTGGAGCACCGTATTGATGGTGGGTTGCTGAACATCCGTCGTTTCGGTGCGAGAACTCTAGTCTGTGAGACAACTATCCGTATGTTGCTGTTTGCTGACGACTGTGCGTTGTTTTCACACAGCGCGGATGAGTTGCAGCACATGACTAGTGCTCTGGCTTCGACAGCGGCCAAATTCGGGCTCACCATCAACACAAGCAAAACTGTCTGTCTCTTTCAGTCTTTACCGGAGGTGCAATCTTCAATATTGCCGCGAATCAGCATTAATGCTGAAGTCTTGGAAACCACCTCCCGTTTCAGCTACCTTGGGAGTGCGATGTCGACTGGCCAGCAGCTACACGTTGAGTTGCGTATTCGCGTGTCGAAGGCGGTAGCGGCATTCGGGAAGCTTGAGTACCGAGTGTGGAACAACCATCAGCTTAGCATTGGCACGAAGCTGATGGTGTACAAATCCATGGTACTGTCCGTTCTTCTATACGGCAGTGAAACGTGGACGATGTACCGTCGGGATGTGCGATATCTCGAGCGGTTTCATCAGCAGTGTCTGCGACGAATTTTGCGGATCGGCTGGGGCGCCAGAGTTGCAGACACGGAAGTGTTGCGCCGAAGTGGGATGTATGCAGTGGACAGCGTACTTTTACTGCGACACCTGAGGTGGATCGGTCATGTGAGCCGTATGGATTCAACGCGACTACCGAAACAGCTCTTATATTATCAGCTGAGTATAGGGAAGCGGCACGTGGGGAAACCAAAGCTACGTTACCAGGACATGATCAGAGTTAGCCTAACAAGTTTTAATCTTGGTTGCAGGTCATGGGAATCGGAGGCAGTTGATCGGGGCGCATGGCGCGATCTAATCACGAAGGCAGTTGCTGAAGTGCGGGAGAAAGCCCTCATGCATGCAGAGAAGAAGCGGCAAGTGCGGAAGCGGCAAGCACCGATGAATTGTACTCCATCGACATCGAGCGCATGGTGCTGTAGAACATGCGGTCGCGAGTGCCTTAGTCAGGCAGGCCTAGTGAGCCATGAGAGAGGTCACTCGGGACCACTGCCGAAGCGACGACGGGTCCCGCAGTGAACGTAGGCAGCACCGGCGCAGCGTTTGTAGGCACGCTGAATTCGATTTACTAACCGCATGCTTGCATGCTAAGTCTCTGTATTTCAGGTGGTGGGTTTTCGGTTCTCTCCTAATGCCTTTCTCATATAAATGTCTAGGGGGCCATGAGCTAGGTCCTTTGGGTCCAATACAGAAGCGACGGTGGGTTCTGCAGAGAATTACGGCGAGCCGGCGCAGCGTTTGTAGGCACGCTGAATTCGATTTACTAACCGCGTGCTTGCATGCTAAGTCTCTTTATTTAAGGTGGTGGGTCTACAGTTTTTACCTTAATCCTTTTCTTTCTCATATAAATATCTCCCTGTACTCTATTCCATTAACTTGCACACATCGCTTCAGCCAATTGTATTCGATTTCCATAACATTTTTGTGTTCGTGGCATTCCGTGAACTATACTTCCTGACCTCGTTCACTTAGCTAGGATTTGTTTGTAAACAACTTATTACGTATGCTATTTAATTAAGGTTTATATCACCGTTTCCTTATGCATTAATCGAGTTTTTCTCTTTTTCTATCTCTCTCAAGTGTTTGGCTGTTGTTTGATATCCCTGGTGTGGCTGCGCTTGATGTGCATGTTGACAAGGTGCCTACCTGTCTATTACCCACTACCTCGTCCATACTGGCTCCAGGAGACAGTTGGTCGTTGCTGGAGGGGACGGGGTGCACGGTCCTTGTGGCCGTGTTAGGCTCGAAGGGTGGTTCCATGCACTCAGTGTGGAGCGGACTACGGTCCAGCCACCGCCTTGTGTGCGCTTGATTCCCCAAATACAGTGTGCTTGTGTTTGCCTTTGAAGGAGTGTGGGCCGGCTCCGTTGATGAAACGTGACTCTCATCCGCATGCCTCCCGGTCTTATTCCTTCGGGTTTACACTGGATATGGGGTGTGTGGTTGGAGCTGTGGGTGGTGCAGCGCAAGCCATCCATGGTCCCTCGGTAGGCGCAGGCGTCCTGTGGCTTGCCACAGTGACAGGCAAATCCGAAACCGGATGCCGCCAAACATATATATATATATATATATATATATATATATATATATATATATATATATATATATATATATATATATATATATATATATATATATATATATATATATATCCTGAGGCTGATTGTGCATTCTTGATGGTTCATCACCGCATTTGGGCTGAATCAACTTACACTTAAACTAAGTCGTTTGGCGCTGGACAAATTTCCTTCCAATTTATTTTGTTTGTTTCGCCTATCTGAATAATCCTCTATTAACTGACCACGTTACTTAGGACAATTGCGCTCGAATTCAGTCACTTTGTTGCGTTTGTAGCATGTTTAACTAAATTGTGGGCATTTTTCTTATTGCGCATCCGTTGCGAACCAAGTTACTTCATATGCTAATTTAGCGAAGAGTTATGCCGCCCATCTGCATAAATAAACTAATATATTGGTATATTCCTAGACTGGCTAGAGACTGCGTCCCTAATGTATCACAGCAATATTTACGTTAATACTGTGCTCTTGCATGGGAATAGAATAATTATGAGTATATGTTCCAGTTTGGCAACTACGAGTGCATAGATATTTTTTGGCTTGCAGCTGATGATGTCGCTGACGCCCATCTTGAAATTTTGCTGTTTCCTTCAGGAGAGACTGAGTTCCTTGAGTTTCTTCGTTGTGAAAGTTGCGCAGAGCCTTATTTGTGAAGGTACTCTTTGGAAACAGGATGCAATTTACCACAAGCATTTTACATTTTTTGGATTGTTTCGGTCCGCTTAGTCGTCACATTTATTGGTGAGCAAATGGAAAGAACTAAGAGCGGCGGAATTATTGGGAATACAAAAAGGTTAAAAAATAATTTCGCGAAAGGCAGAGAAAAATAAGTCTGGGTTGCTAACAGACCTACTAAGGCGGTGCACTTCACTAGAAAAGTACAAACTAACAAAATTATAACCAAACTTTTCTTGCGCTGAATTTGATTTCCGGCGCCAAATCTTAACCTGCGTTGACCACCGCAAAAATAAACCTTTAAGGCTAGAATATTGCGTAAAGTAACACAAGAATAATCTACACAGAACAAAATTACACCGCTGCTTAGGCTAAATGTAAAAAGTGTGCAGTGCGTGCAGTAGTTCATTAGTTATTGGCAATTAAATGGGGGTCTACGAGTGACCGCATTATTTTCCGCTAAGAACGGCTTTCTGCTTTGCAAGCGGATATCAGAACAAAGAATAGAAAATGCACAAAGTAGCGAAACTGTATACGTTCTAAATAAGTAGAGCTATCTAGAAATGTTTTATATAGCGTGTACTATCCCTCAAACACTGGGTGCGATCTAGTTTGCAGAAAAGCAAACTTGTCAGGCATACATAGTAAATGTATGCAGATAAACGATACTGTTCTTCAAAAATACTAGAAATTCAGTAAGGAATATCACGTCCGCAATTTTTTTCAGGACAACTTATAATTAACCCACAGTCAGAAGGCCTCTGTACATCATTTTCGATGGACACTGAGCCACATAAATCATTAGAAATATAGCGTTTAGTATCTTTTTAGCCTTTAATTGGCTTTCAAATTTATGTCAAGTCTGCATGATCTAGGTCTACCTGAATAATACAGGAGACCTTCAGGATCATTTGATAACTTTTGGCCTGAAATCTGCACACGTTTCTTAAGTAAAGATGGAATGTTTTATCTATTGGAGCGGGTTTTTTATATTCTTGTTGCTGTGTATCCAAAGCCAGTGGGCTAGAGGAGCCTGTCACTAATAATTCGGAAGTGAGTATGGGAATATTTAACAAACTTTATCAAAATACTTTCGGGGCGTGTAATCCATTTTGGTCTGTGCTGGTGAGACAGTATCAACACCACTTCTTGGGATTGAGGTTGCTTGAACATGGGGGATTATTATGCCCCATGTACTGATGCCACTATCGTGCAGCTGTTTAAGTAATTCGAACTATTTCTGTCTCATTTTAAGTTTTAAGCAAGTGCCAGTGGTGTTCTTCCAGGTGGCAAGTTAACTAGTACTATATTGTCACACTAGTTATTTCCTTGGTGGTTTTCTTGGCAAGAGTTGTTCTAGCACCCTGAGCAGAGTTATCCGCTAAAGCCAGAGTAGGATAGTAACAAAATTTGGGAGGCAGTTGTTCACACTCCATTGCGAATAACATGGTAAGCTTTGGAGCAAGCTACAAGATAATTAACGCACGGTCAGCCGACATAAGGCAAAATGGTTGTCAAAATTTTCTAGATGTCCGGCCAGCCAGTTGGTTAGTTTGCATGCCAGTAAACTTGCACCTGTGAATACGAATGTTTTACTAGCAAAGGGGATTAAAGATGATGATCTGGTTTTCATGCTGCTTCTCTGTTAGCGTTGCCAATAGTGATAGCATATATATACCAGATAAAACTAATTATATAAAGCCAAGAGTGAATACGTGCAGAACAAAATCTTTGCTGTTTTGACCTATAACTTCAAGTATTCCCTTTAACCACAGGATGATATATATATATATATATATATATATATATATATATATATTATAGGGCCGGTACATTTAATTATCCTTCATTGTATCTTCTAGTCCTATTCGCAATAAGTTATTGTGCATTTACCTGGTGTACTTGTTTTGATTGTTGAATAACACACCTTTTGTAGTTCCGTGGACTACTCGACATGTTCTACCTGTGTTACTGTGTTGTTGAATTCTTGGCGTTGTCAATCACCATATACTAACCAAGCGCATTACACATTCACAGCCCTCGTTCCGTCCAGGCCGGATTTCCAGACCTCGTCCATCATTCATCCGAGCTGCTGACTCAAGGTGACCACGAATTTGTATGTGGTTGGACTGTTAACCCGACATTGAAAATACTTTGTGATTTTTGTCATTTCTGTTCACACTTGCTAATTGTTATTTATCTTTTTGAATCCTAGCCCACTACATATTTGGTTACTCCGAAAGCTGTCTTAGAGCTTTCGTTTATTATTAAGCGCAGAACCCCCGAAGCTTTTTACTTTTTTCCCTCGCGAAAGAACTATGGAATCCAAACCCAGTTCGTGCACGGAACCCGGTGAAAACTATATTTCCTTAAAATTACTTGCTTTTGGTGCATCTAATCCTTGCAGTTGGTTCAAACAAATTGAGGCATATTTCCATTTTCGCAGGATTACTACACCAGAGCGTATGTTTCCTTAGGTGGCTACTCAGCTCCCCACGGATATTGCCACTGAAGTGATCGAGGTCTTAGATCCATTTCCAACAGAATTTCCTTACGTTACTCTTAAAGCTGCAGTTTTAAAACCCATAACCGCTGCAGTCGAGACTGGTTGACCGCATCTGCTCTCTGACGTCGGACTTGGCGACTGTCCTCCATCTCAGTTGCTAGGACACATGAGAACCTTAGTTGGTAGTTACAACGTAGAGGACTCAATTCTGAGCCAATTTTGGACTAAATGTCTACCACCTAATACCGTCCTGGTCTCTTCAGTACAAGGTGATGAAACTTCGCTTAATACGTTGGCTGAACTTGCTGGCAAGGTACGTGGAGGTTTTTTCATACCTCCCTTTACTCAAAACTCGCAGCCAAATAACGCTACCGGAGGTACACCCTCCACCGTTGTTAGGCTGAAGCACCAAAGCGAACAGTTGACCGCCCATGTTTCCGCTATTACTAAACATCTTAATCGCCGTCGTAGCGTATCACCTGGTCGTAATACACGCGCTAGCCCATCCAACCGTGACTTAACCGGAATCGTTTCCGGTATTCCCACAAACGATTTGGAGTTGCCGCACGGAACTTGTAGCGCCCAAAAAGATAACTCTTATCTTTCGTGTACAATTTACTTGTTGACCGATTGTACATTACTCCTTCTTGTTTTAATCTTACAACCGGCTCGACACACAACTGCCTTGTAAGTCCCAGCGCTCACGTGTACGCTCTTGCCTCGCTTCATCCGTCCGTTTCTTGTTGTAGTCCCATCGAATACAGTCCGCTGTGTCCGACTCCAATTGCCTTCTGATATCCGCGCTTAATTCCGCGCACCGTCTCGGACTAGTATTAACTAGTCCTACAAATTGGTGACCCCGATTCGCACGCGCGAATTCAACATTTTTTCTCGTTTGTATTTTTTGGTGAGTTCGTTCCTTTTTCTCGATTATATACGTATATTCATTTGTTTCTTGCGTAATTTTAGTACTTTTATCGTATTTCGTTCGTTCTTTATCTTTCGACTCACATTTCGAGAGTGGTATCTGAGTCGTTTCACAGCGTAACCATGCTTACTTTGGCTGTTCCAAGTTTCATGGAACACAGTCCAGAAGTTTGGTTTAAGATATTCGAGATCGAACTAGAAAATAAGGGCATAACGGCGGACCGTCCAAGGTACAATCAGCTCGTCCCACGCCTTCCTCCGTCGGTAGTGACGCTGATTGAGGACATTCTACTCTGCCCATCGAATGAGGCAAAGTATGAAACGATGAAGCAAGCGATATTGAAAGAGTTACGACCCAGCGCACGAGCACGATTTGAGCAGCTCAATGGTCTCAAGCTTGGAGATCGCAAGCCGTCGGCATTGCTCCGCGAACTTCAGCGCATCGCTGGTCCCTTATTCTTGAGCGAAGAAGGGATAAAGGAGCTGTGGTTTGCACGTCTCCCAGAGCCATTGCCGGTAATGCTGTCCATGTTTATAGACGCACCCTTGAAAGACTTAGCTACCAAGGCAGACGCTGCGTTCGAACGTTTTCCGCAGCAGACGACCAGTAACTCCGGTGGCATATTCTCACCGATGAAAACCGAATCACATGTTTGTTCCCAGTCGCTAGACCGATCTGACTCTAAAAACGAGGAAATTGCGCTACTTCGCAGCAGGATAGCAGCATCGAAGTCTTCGAAGCAGCGGGTGCCACGGTCAAATGCTGACCACGTTTTGGCTACCGTTCATTGCGGCTCGTCTGTGCCTGCACCGAGTACGTCACGTTCGGCACGAAAGCGCCACATTTCCCTTACAAGTTCTCAGTCAGATAAGGTCAAGCCCGTCGAAGAAGTATGTTGGTATCACCGCCAATACGGTGGAAGAGCTAGACGTTGTCGGGCTCCCTGCATTAGGCACGACCCAGGGAAAACGAATAGCCCGCATACTAGCACTACAAACGTATCATGCAATAACCAAGCAAACCGACTGTTTTACGTTAAGGATCGACGTTCTTCCATCACGTTCCTCATCGACACGGGAGCGGAAGTCAGCGTCATCCCAGCGACCGCTAGCGACAAGCACTCGAAGCCTACGTACAATTTGCGTGCGGCCAACGGTTCTCCGATAGCTTCATTCGGTCAGCGCATGATGAACCTAGACCTCAATCTTCGCCGAGATTTTCAGTGGGTCTTCATGGTTGCGTCTGTACCCTTCGCAATTATCGGTATCGACTTCCTCCGACATTTTGGGTTGCTTGTTGATGCTGGTCGCCACAGACTTTTAGACGATCGTACGAAACTAGGTGTTGATGGTGTCCTTTCAGATGCCCCGATAATCAGCCCTGTATTTCGAATCGCAGACGCACCGTCCGACTACTTGAGCCTCCTCTCCGAATACCCGCGACTGGTTCGACCGGCTGCAGAGCTTCCACCAGTCACAACAGAGGTCGCTCACCACATAGTTACGCGCGGTCAACCAGTTAGCGCACGGCCAAGACGGCTTGCTCCAGACAAACTACGGGCAGCACGAGCCGAATTTGACCACATGCTTCAACTTGGTATCGTCAGACCGTCCAACAGCCCATGGGCGTCGCCTCTGCACATGGTCCCGAAGAAGGTTGTGGGGGACTGGCGTCCTTGCGGCGACTATCGATCCTTGAATACGGTAACCACGCCTGATCGCTATCCGATCCCACACATAGTGGATCTCACCGCCAGTCTGGCGGGTAAAAGTATCTTCAGCAAAATCGACTTGGTACGCGCATACAACCAAATTCCGGTAGCCGAGGCGGACATCGCTAAAACTGCCGTGACGACTCCATTTGGTTTGTTCGAGTTTCTGCGCATGCCATTTGGCCTAAAGAACGCCGCGCAAACTTTTCAGCGTTTCATCGACCAAGTTTGTCGCGGCTTAGACTTCGCTTACGCGTATCTTGACGACATTTTAATCGCAAGCTCTTCACGAGAAGAGCACATACGCCACGTACGAACACTTTTTGATCGTTTATCTCAACACGGGGTGACGATCAACGCAGAAAAGTGTTCGTTTGGTGTCGATTCAGTTAATTTCCTGGGCCATCGTATCTCTTCTGCAGGCGTCGTGCCACTGCAAGATAAAATTCAAGCCATTATCGACTACCCCGAGCCTCATTCTTTCAAACAGCTCAGGCGTTTTGATGGCCTGGTCAACTTTTACCGTCGATTTATACCCAACTGCGCCTCTCTGATGCAACCCCTCACGGACCTTCTCCGAGGGAAACTCAAGACGTTCGAATTTCCTACCGCAGCACGCGCTGCTTTTAAGTCGCTGAAAGAGGCTATCGCCAACATAGCTTCCATAGCGCATCACGATCCGACCGCCCCACTGTCCCTTAGTACTGACGCCTCGGACGTCGCGGTCGGCGCTGTTTTGCAGCAACGCGTAGCCGACACGTGGCAGCCCTTAGCGTTTTTCTCCAAACGCCTACAACCTACCGAATCTCGCTACAGCACGTTCGGTAGAGAACTACTTGCCGTATATCTAGCGATACGTCACTTTCGACACGTCCTAGAAGGCCGCTCCTTTGTCGTCTTCACCGACCACAAACCCCTAACTTACGTGCTCGGCTCGACTACCGACCGATACTCTCCTAGAGAGTCGCGCCACCTTGACTATATCGCTCAGTTTACGACCGATATACGGCATGTCTCAGGTGTGCACAACGCCGTCGCCGATGCACTTTCCCGCATTCAAGCTATCTCCGCTGACGCCGGCACTGCTATCGACTTGGCAGCCATGGCCACAGCGCAACTCAAGGACCCTGAGGTTGATCTACTACGCAGGTCTCCCTCATTGGACATACGACCTGTTCCGCTGACATCATCAGACGGCACTATACTGTGCGATTTATCTCTGGGCACGCCGCGCCCAGTCGTCCCACGTGAGTTTCGGCAGACCGTGTTCGACGCGTTGCACGGCTTGTCTCATCCAGGCGTTCGTGCATCGGTTAAACTCGTAACCGCACGATTCGTTTGGCGCAATGTTAATCGGGACGTCCGTACCTGGGCAGCTGCTTGCCTTCCGTGTCAACGCGCGAAGGTGCACAAGCACACGAGAAGCCCATTAGGTACTTTTCCGACGCCAGACGCACGTTTTCATCACGTGCACGTCGACCTCGTAGGTCCTCTGCCGCCTTCCAAAGGCTCGGTATATCTACTGACCTGCATCGATCGATTTACTAGATGGCCTGAGGCCGTCCCCATCCCAAATTGCTCCTCGGAAACGGTAGCGAAAGCTTTTATGGAGCGCTGGGTAGCACAATACGGCTGTCCCGCCATCGTGACCACCGATCGAGGGTCACATTTCTCGTCGACATTTGCCATGTTGCTTAAGGATTTAGGCTGTCGCCACGTCCAGACGACGGCGTATCATCCGGCCGCTAACGGCATGGTGGAGCGTTTTCACCGCCAGTTGAAGGCAGCGCTACGTGCGCACGCAGATCCTTCATGGTCTGAAACACTTCCCCTCGTTCTCCTAGGCATAAGAAACACTGTTAAAACCGATTTCGACGCCACGCCAGCGCAGCTAGTCTACGGTTGCACGCTGCGGTTACCCGGACAGCTGGTAGCACCAGCCCCATGTACTTCCACTTTTGACTACGGAAGTTACACTGACCGATTGGCTCACCAGATGCGTGAGCTACGTCCACCCGCTCCTCGATCGCAGGAGACACCAGTGTACGTGCCTGAGAAGCTGTCTACTTGTTCACACGTCCTTCTTCGCGCAG